ATCTGAAAAGCATCCCGGAAATTCGGAACAAGCAAATTTAAAATGGAAACACTGCTTTTAGACTACTACTAATAAAGTTATTGTATTAATCCATTGCGTAAAATATTCAATTACACTGAGGAATACGTTGTATTCAATTACACTGAGGAAATGAGAAAGTTTTAATAGCGTTTTTATGGAAATTGAAATTACAGTTGACTAAAAATATAAATAAGGAATTCGAATTTGCATAGGAAGAAACATTCAGTTTGGAGGAAAAAACTGTCCAGCTAGTTAGAACATACATTGAACCTCTGATTCACAAAAAAACAATGTTAGATATGTCAATGATTGGAATGGTTATTGACGGAAACAGTAGTGGGAAAATTCTCAGCTCAGGAGCTGGGAAAACACCCTCAAAAGGAAAATTTAACTCCTGTAACTCCTAGTGGATGGCATACCAAGAATGTACAACTTACCTCAGCAGACTTTCGCAACGTAAATATAGTGAATATATTTAAGAACAACGAAAGAGTGCATCAGAATGCGGAAACTACCGGGAATTTTACTACTGGCTATCGGAGGAAAAGTTCTTGCAAAAATTATGTCAAACCGTCCGCACCCACATACAGAAAAAATCTTCCCAGAATCGCAAACGGGCTTTCGCACCAACCGCGGTACCGTTGATTCCATATTCTCCCTTCACCAACTACGGGAGCAGCAGAGTAAACCGTTTGTTACATTCATCGACCTAACAAAAGCCTTCGACTCTGTAAACAAGGATGAGAAATGCACTTTGAGCAATTATGCAATAGTTCGGAGTACCCAACAAATCTCTTACAGTGCCAACACTCTCATCACTTGAGGAGGCTAGGGCTACCAGATTGTTACAGCTAAATTCCGGGAGGGCAAAAAAAGCACGAGCAAGAAAACCACCCAAGCACTCCCTTCCTATTCCATTTGCGAGAATGTCTGTCCAAACTAAATTAAAACGAATAAAACGAATCATAATCAAAACTTGACTATTGACACAAGACACAAGCATCAACAACATGTATATTATAATAATTATCAAAATAACATTATAGTCCTGTAAATAAGGACATGAAAGTCTCAAGTCTCGGAATAATTCGTCGACCATGAATTTTTAGGCGGATTGTGTACCTGTTGGGGAGAAGGTTTAAGGAAAAAAAATGCAGCGCTCGGCCGCAAAAAATGGCTCCAAATGGCCAAAAAATCAGTTTTTCGCAAATATCTGCCAAAATACGCAATTTACAAATTGTTTCTTAAAAAAATGAAGCTTAGATAATTACCTATAAAAATGATCCTTATCAGTTTTTACGTAGAATTAGTAGTTTTCGAGATATTCCGCCACGAAGATCCTTGAATTTTCTCTCCAAGTCTTAACGCTCCGGAGATAGATTTCATAAGCGTATCATTGATTTATAGGACAAATTGTTTAATAACTCGGCTAAAATTTAATGTTTTTTCACGATTCAAAGTTCATTTAAAAGGTAGAATCAACAGCTATCATATTTTGGAATTTGTTTGAATTTTGTCAAATTTGTCAAAATGACGATAATACGCCAGCAGCCAGACAGACAGCCAGATATCCGATATGGATAAATAGGAGTGTGATGTAAATCAGGTAAGAACAGTTAAAATACGCTAATAAACAAGAATAAACAGGTTAGAACCACTTTGAACCGTTTTTGAACTGCTTTGAACCGCTTTTAGCTTAAAACGACAGACCTGTTCATTTTTTGCTCAAACCTGTTTATTTCTATTTTAAAGCGGTTCAAAGTGGTTCTAACCTGTTTATTCTTGTTTATTAGCGTATTTTAACTGTTCTTACCTGATTTACATCACACTCCTATTTATCCATATCGGATATCTGGCTGTCTGTCTGGCTCAAGTGGCCCAATGACTACTTAGGGCAAACATTTCTTGACCTAAAAATGTTCAGATTTTCAGAAAATTAAGCTTGATTCAGAACCACATAATCTTTAATTTCAATGTAAACATTCAGAACGTCAAAATTAGTGGTAGACATTTTCTATTAGTAGAACTTTTCCAGTAATTATACTTCAAACTGTGCGAGAAATGTCATTTTGGCCTTTGATTATCTTTCGTCAAGAGAAATTGTGGTTAGAAAAGTTGATTGTTTTATAAGCTAAATATTAGGCTATTTATTTTATTTTTAGGCGTTTTATAAGCTAAATATTAACTTTAATTGTGTTTTTTAAATATTGTGAATGATCGTAAACTAAAGTATAAAGTGTAATTGAAACCACTAACTGCGAGGTTCTGAATGAAGCTTTATTCATATTTTTGTGTCAATTTTACATAATATTTATTATTGAAAAACTTAAAGCGCTAAAGAAACCGTTAGCCGCTAAACCGAAAAATAAACCGCTAGATCTATAGCGGGTAAACCGCTAAGATGGCAACAGTAGTTACCATAGACTTAAAATAAAATATAGACTACACTATTTACATCTCAACGCGGACAGACAATATTTTTTGTACACATGTTTACTTCTGGGTACAGTCGACCGAGCCTTCCTCATCCAGCCTATGTTGTCACGTCTTTAATATTAACAATATTTTTTAATAAGTAGGTTTTAATATTCCAGAGATGTATTAAATAGTCCTTATACTACTAAATTATAAGTCGGATACTGTTTAAAAAGGATAAGTTCTTTACAATATGACAACACCGATTAGAGGCGAGAGAGCCTATTCATTCATTTATTACCTTGTAGTACGTGTCGGACGTGTGCGGTAAAGCTTTGTTGCCGCTATCTCCCGGCTGTATTAACGCATTTTCTTAGCTTGTAGTCCTTAAGTGTTTATTTTATTGACTTTTTCTGTTCAAGAACTATAAAATATGGTTCGCCAGTGCCAAATTTGCAAGAAATTTGACTTAAATAATCCATTTAAGTCTTGAAACGACTTTTGACCGTTGGCAACTCTCAGTTTACCCATTGGGAGTCAGTGGCGTTGTTGTAGAAAGGCGCTTATTTAGATAATATTTTAGTAAAATGTAAAATCTGAATTTTTTCTCTTATATTACATTATTTACTTACTTACATTGTAACAAAATCATAATTATAACCCTGTTAATAATTAATAATGTTTTTATTAAAAATATATTCCGGTTTATTCTAAAATTATCTTCAGAATCTAAAATAACATACAAGAATTTTAATATGATATTACATTATGAGACAATATTTTTTAATATACCGGGTCGTCTCAAAAGTGGTTCACCGCTATAACTTTTTTATTTTTTCAGATAAAAAAACAGATTTGTATGTTAGTAGGTATATGACATAAATTAGGATTTATTGACGTATTCAATTGTTTTTGGTCTCTTTCTGTTTCACCGAAATGATTACATCTTTTGATTTTTAAAGGCACCCTCGGTATATTTCTACTTTATTCGATAGAAAATGATAATAGAATTCTGAATAGAATGACATATCATATGTCAACTTTTGACATTGTCGCTTAAAAACAAATCGTATTATAAATTTCAATCCAGGGTGCCATGGTGTTGTTAAAAACACTAAGTTTTAATCAAGGAGCCTTGGAAAAATAGTTTTGATCGTCTAATGGGTTTCGTGTCTTGTCTAGGCCGATTAAAAGATGTACAAATCATATTTTTAATCATACATATGTCAATTTTTTCAAATGGAACAAGGGTGACTCGTTAGCATATTTGGAAAAAGCATTTTTTTATGAATATATTGATACCACACACTTGGTATTTCGAGTCAAATTGTCGTTATGAACCACGTGTTACAATTACAATTAAACCATATGCGAAAGTGTCAAAAGTTGACATATGATATGTCATTCTATTCAGAGTGTCATTTTCTATCAAATAAAGTAGAAATATACCGAGGGTGCCGTTTAAAAATTAAAAGTTATAGTCATTTCCGGTGAAACAGAAAGTGACCAAAAACAATTGAATGCGTCAATCAATCCTAATTTATGTCATATACTAACATACTAAATCTTGTTTTTTTATTTGAAAATATAAAAAAATTATGGGGTTGAGCCACTTTTGGGACGCACCCGGTATAATAAAGACAGTACCGAGTTAAATAAATGTAGTTTTCATTTTATCCCCTTCCTATCACCTTCCTTGCTTTAATGGAACAGATTTATGTTTTCTCTATTTTACATAATAAGACATCACTTAACCAGAAAAAAAATTACAACAATCATATTTTTTTTTCTCTCTCTGTCGCCGATTCTATTATATCTGTGGAATAGATCCTGTTTTCATTAATATTAGGGGTTGTAAATGTTTGACTAAAATTAATAATTTATTATTAATTTCAAAAATTACCTAATTTCGATGATAAAATTTCTTCTATAACGTGTATTTTATTATTTTTATCCTTTTTGGACTCTAAATTGTTTTTTCTAAACTTTTATTTAAAAAATCTTAATAAAATATAAAAAAGTTTAAATACGATATATTTTTAATTTAATTATAGCTTCATTAAAATAAAAAAATTACCCGGCTATGATACGGAGAGTTCAGGTGTACTTGAGAAACGAAAGACAGTGTTGTGTTTCTCGGCAGAGTCGTCAGGGAACGACCGTTACGACAGAGACAACCTATCTATCGCTCGTGTCGCACTCGTTATAACCTAAAACAATAACACAACAATAACAAGACAGTGTCTGACCGCATGTTCCAGCTATTTATGAATGAGATGCTCAGTCTATATTTTATTTTAAGTCTATGGTAGTTACAATACCCCATCTACTTCTTAATATTGAAAAACATCTACACTATACCATTTAAAAAAAGAGTTTAAACATTAAAAACTGTCTTAAACCATAAAACATAGGAGTACATTTGAGAGGGAGTAGATTGAGAGTTTTGTTTCAACTCTGCTTAAAATAATGAGCTTAGTATCGTACAATAAACTTCCAGGATGTACAAGTCCGAATTTCATGGTGCCATCTCGATAAAACTAGAAAGAAATATTCTCTCTTACCTATAATACATTTTGACCACCCACTGGTGATCCGCTTCGACTAAAATATCCCGCTCCGCCCGCACGTGCGCCACCTGTTCCTTCTCCAGCATGTCCGCCTTGCGCAGGATCTTCATCGCGTACACGTGGCCCGTGTCCTCTTCTGCACCAGCCGCACCTCCCCCGAACGCCCCCTCCCGATCACCTTGAGCGGCTCGAGAGTCCTCCACCCCAGCCTGGACCGCTTCAGGCGCAGGTGAACCTGGTCTCCTTCTGGGCGTGCTGCAGTCGTTTCTCGTGTCTCTGTTCCTCGGAGAGGCTCTCGTCCTTGAGGGATTCCTCCAGCTTGGCCAGCCTGCAACGGTAAAGGAGATTGGTTAGTTAATGCATATATGTCACAGGTGTATCGAATAATTCGGCTTTTTGCAAAAAGACTAGGCATATTATAAAACGCCGGCATTTTTAACTAAAGGAACATATTTTGAATAAATTTGTTTCAAAATTACGAATACAATAGGAAATAATGGAACACAATGTTGTGAACATATATTTAATATAGTTATATTATGTATATGTATATTCTACAAATTATGTATATAAAATATTAATTTTACCCTTATACTACGGCTATACCTAAAGAGTTTAAGATATTAAAAACGATTAACATTATTATTGTTCTCAGAAAGATGGGTAGACTTAAATAAACAGCTTAAGATAAAATAGTCATAACTAGATGCGTCATTTTTAGTTTTCCTTTGTAATCCATTTACTTTCAGACGGGATGTCTGGTTCTATTTACTTAAGAAATGGTTACGATGGTTCAACAACGATTACTACATTTGGTGACAACGGTGGTCCAACTCAGGATCACAACGTTGGTGGCAGCGGTGGGATCAACTCAGGATCATAACATTGGTGGCAGCGGTGGGATCAACTCAGGATCACAACAACAATAGTGTGATTTTATTAATGTGGCCAAGGATAGTGATGTAACGGGTAATATTACCGGTAATTTTTCTAATATTACGTAATATTACTGCAAGGTCAATAACATTGGAAATCTTGCTTTTTTCCGCTCTACGCTTTTTCATTTGCCCAGGTCCAAAATAAGTATGTTGGCTGTAGACACTTTAAATTTATCATCGTCAACAGCCGCAACCGAAAAAACCTTTAGTACTTATGAACTTGTTTGTACTGGCTAACAAATCTCTAGAATGATGGAGAAACTCACCACGACAGAGACGGGCGAAAAAGTTCATAGTAAAACATTCGCCAAAATTTACAGCAGACCTGATGCAAAGACCGAAAAACTCAGGACTCGCCACGCAATAAAAAGCTGTAGAGGATCTACTAACAGGGCATTTTAAGAATGTCAATAGACATCTAAAGCTAATGAGATTGACGGACGAACCTATGTGCAGGTTCTGTCAATCTGAAGAAGAAACGGCAACATATTTTATATCGGTGGGACAGTCTGGCAAGTGTGCGGTTCTCGGTAATAGGCCATTGCCAGAGAGCTACATGAAAGGTCCCGTCTCAAAGTTGCTAGACTTTGTGAAAAGGATAGGTTTGGAGAATACCGACAGCCACTTCGAAGAATCTAATATAATCTATGGATTTGTTCATCAGACCAGAAGAAACAAACTTACCGTGGAAAGGGCTGGAAAATTTTCTTATATTGCCCATAATTATAATTTACTAAATGGAGAAGAACATCCAAACATGGTAGAAGCTGCTGAGAAAGATATGGAAGAAGAGGAATATCGATTACGAAGTAATACACGACTCAATTAACGAAAGAAAAAGAAGAACCAGATAACGAGATGAGGATGAACCAGATAACGAGATTAGAACCAGATTGAGGATGATTTACCATTATCTCTCTATTACGTATTATAGTATAATCACACTCTGACTAGTTTAGAAAACGTTCTTGCCTTCCTTTTTGTAATGTTTTTACAGTTTTAGAATAAAAAAATATTATTAAAAAATGTTGTAAAATGTTGTATGCTGTTATTTATTAATTACCAATGTTACCGTAATATCACCGGTAATATCAGTGGCGGATACACGCTTGGGTTCTCAGCCAAGTAATACGATATTATTAATTTCTTTAGTCACAAACCACTCTTGAGTACTTTGTGTACTTTGAGTAAAATTTTGTGTCTAGCCCCCCCTGTCCATAACCCTGGATCTGCCCCTGGGTAATATTACCGATAATATATTATATAAATTCCCGGTAATTTTACATCACTAAGTAAGCATGTGTTACAAATTTTCTGATTTCTGTTAGAAAATACTGAAAATACAAGAGTAATTTATTAGAAATAATTAATAACTTGTTGCAAATGTAAAAGGAATAACATGGATTGTACTAAATCCATATCGATTGAATGTGTCATCGATTAGATGTTAAAGGTCAAGCGAGATGCATATGTACTTTACATGTGTTAAATGAAATAAATGCCTTTTAAATTTCAAGGTTTGTATTTTTTCAAGCGGCAAACAGAAACAGTGTTTATATTTAAACTTTTAAATACATTTATGGCGAATGATTGTGTGAGGTGTATATCTGGCACGTACACAGGGCGTTTCGTCACGAAATACCAACACATTGATATAGCAAAGAATACATTTATAGGAAGTCTGAACATTAGAGAGTGTATAAATATCGCAGAGGAATCTTGGGCTAAAATATTTTCAAGATGGCGGTACTTCCGGTTGTACTGTTTTATTTTTGTTTAACTTAAAAAATTAAAGATTAATAAAAAAGGAAAAAAACTTTATTGTGTCGGTAAAATGTCAATTGCAGTTACTTATTACATCCCCTTGTATTGAGGCCACGCTACGCCGGCGCCGCTGTATTCACAGTTAAACAATTTGTGGCTTTATTTAGTATCTCCCTTACAAACCATTACCTTTACTACGAAACTTCGCCACTAAAATTCTAACGTACATTGTACAGGGTGGGTCAAATTCGACGCTTTTAAATGGCAACACCCTTTTCTATGGAGATAGACGAAAACTAATATCGGTGTCTGGAGCTCAATTTTCATCAAGAACATAATGGTGAAAACCGCACATCAATATCTGTTACCGTTTCGGAGTTACGGGGTGTTTTTCAAAAATGTGCATTTTTAACAAATCGCTGTAACTTTTTTGCTATGGCAAATTTTGTATTTCTATGAAAACATTCCCAAAGCACCTTTTTACGTCGAATTTAATGGTTTAAGTATAATTTTTTTAAAATTAATAATTTAAGAGTTATCAACAGGAAAATTGATTTTTTATTTGGGACACCCTCTATATTTTTAATTAACTGAAAAGAATTTAAAATTACCTTTCCAAAAATATCGCACACTTGATATTTTGTTATAATCCCCTTCGAAATACAGAATTTTTAAAAGTTCGCCACTTTTAACTAGTAGGCTTTGGACCCCTTATTGATGATATGCCCTTAATGGAACTCAAAAACATATTTTTCCAGCAAGACGACGCGACGCACCGCCTCTGAACGCTGAAGTTAGCAAATTTTTGCGGCCAATTTCAAGAATAATGAATAATTAAATAGTTAACCAAGATCCCAGCCGTTGGCCGTCGAGGCCGCCTGACTTAATGCCCATGGATCTAATCCTATGGATATATTTGCGGAAGAATAAAGGTTCCTTATTCTTCCGAATAATCTAGACAAGAATTAGAAATACTTAGCAGTTATGAGAGGGTATCTTTCACCCCCACTGAGTTAATGAATTTCGCGGGAAATGTTCAAAAACTGCCCCATCTGTCCATAATCCTAAGACCGTCAATATGTCGAACACCTGTAGCAAAATCTCATGTCTTGGTTTGCTATTTATTTTTATTGTTATTAGATATAGTTTAAATGTGTTGATGTAGGTTAAATATATTTTAAATTGTTATAAAATTCTCTCATAGCAAATATTATTTTCGTTTTAATTGATGCTCACAGCTAGAATTTTTTTGCATTACAGCCGGTGCCGTTTAAAGCCTATACTTATTTAAAGCGGGCGAATTTTTATATACTCTATATCTCGAAGAGGAATCGAGCAAAATATCAAGCGTGATATATTTTTGGAAAGGTAATTTTAAATTCTTTTCAACAAATTAAAAGTATACAGGGTGTCCCATATAAAAAATCAAATTTTCTGTTGATAATTTTCAAATTATTAATTTTAAAAAAATTATACTTAAACCATTATTAAACTCTACGTAAAAAGGTGCTTTGGAAATGTTTTCATAAAAATACAAAATTTTCCATAGCAAAAAAGTTACACCGATTTGTTAAAAATGCATATTTTTGAAAAACACCCCGTAACTCCGAAACGGCAACAGATATCGATATGCGGTTTTCACCATCATGTTTTTGACAAAAATTGAGCTCCAGACACCGATATTAGTTTTTGTCTATCTCCTATAGAAAAGGGTGTTTCCATTTAAAAGCATCGAATTTGACCCACCCTGTACATTGCTAAAGTTATTTTGAATCACACTTGCAAATACACCCTAATATTAACTAACGGAAATCTCAACCTTATACGTGCAATGTTAACTTGAAAATTAAACTTTGAATACAATACGAAGTTGGACTAAGCCGCGGGGAAATGTCTAATCGAGTTTTGATGTATCTGTTTCACAAACACAAATCTCCAAAGAGTTATGACTAGGGAGGACAGCTTTTGTTTACTTCCTTTAAACTACATGTCAAAAAGTTAATGATCAAAATATGCAATTTACAAAATTTTTCTTGAAATAAAAAATTAAGATTAAGTAATTACCTACAAAAATGATTCAAAGTTCGTTTAAAAGGTAGAATCAACAGCTATCACATAGGAACTTGTTTGAAATTTATCTCATTTTTATGATAATTAAAAACCCGGGCAAACCATTCCTTAACCCAAAAATTTTCAGATTTTTACGAACTTATTTATATTTTTACTAACAATAGCTTATTAAGTTAACAGTTGTTCTTAGAGTCTCTTTAAGCAACTCAAAAAGTTTAAAGTATTTGTTTAATCACATTTTAATAAAAAAAACAAGTATTCGTGAGTGGCCTTTTCCGCTTTTTTGGGGATTTCCGGAAAGTGTCATAAACAAAAGAAAATTGCATAATTACGATCAGTCGAATTGGTTTCGTTTCACGAACAATTTTACGAAATAAAGTGTCAGAATCATTTTCAGCTAAAGACCCAATCTTCCATTTGGCGATCATGAAAATCATCTACATGCCATATTCGGGCAATATTGGCGGAAAACCCGTTCTTTGACACTCTAGGGCCGTTTTTAACCGGTTTCTTGCGATTTTACGAAAAAAAGTGTTAGAACTTTTTTCGTAGATAATGACTGAAGATTCATTTTTTGTTTCAGGAAAAATTTTGTAAATTGCATATTTTGACAGATATTTGCGAAAAACTAATTTTCGGCCATTTGGGACCATTTTTAAGCCAAAGCCGGTCGAGTGCATTGTTACATTTTTTTCTCCTAAAACTACTCCCCAAAAGGAGCTCCGTCACGTTGGAACCCGCTTTCAAGTAAAGTTTTCGATTTTTGGCTTATTTTTTTTTGGATTATTAACTACAAACGATACAGGTGATGTGAATTCAATTTTTGTAATTGCTAATAATTAGCCAGAAAAAAGTAAACAATTGTGCGAATGTAATAAAGAGAAAAAATATTGTTTTAACAAAGGTCTAAAAACCTTCAAATCGTTTGTAGTTTGGGTACAACTAAAGACATTATGTCAAACTATGTTAATTTTCAAATTTTACTATAATTCACTAATTCCAAGAATCTTTTATTCAATTTTTTTGCTACTACATAAAACTAAAAACGATTTTGAAGGTTTTTAGACCTTTGTTAAAACAATATTTTTTCTCTTTATTACATTGCGCACAATTGTTTACTTTTTCTGGCTAATTATTAGTACTACAAAAAAATTGAATTTACTAAAATCAATTGCATCGTTTGTAGTTTGTGTACAACTAAAGACATTATGTCAAACTATGTTAATTTTCAAATTTTACTACAGTTCACTAATTCCAAGAATCTTCTATTGAATTTTTTTGCTACTACATAAAACTACAAACGATTTTGAAGGTTTTTAGACATTTGTTAAAACAATATTTTTTCTCTTTATTACATTGCGCTCAATTGTTTATTTTTTCTGGCTAATTATTAGTCCTAAAAAACTGAATTTACTACAATCAATTGCAATCGTTTGGTTTGTTGGTACAACTAAAGACATTAGCTTTTTCGTTTTTCCTGTTAATATCGATTCTGAACCGTCCTAGAATTGAGGGCGTATGCGCAGAAGGAAATATGAAGACATTATTTCATTTGCGCATGCGCTGCAGAGTTCTAGGACGATTCAGAATCGGTATAACAGAAAACAAAAAGCTATAATCAAACCATGTTAATTTTCATATTTTACTATAATTTACTAATTCCACAGGATCTTTAACTGAATGTTTTTGCTACTACATAAAACTACAAGCGATTTTGAAGGTTTTTAGACCTTTGTTAAAACAATATTTTTCTCTTTATTACATTGCGCACAATTGATTACTTTTTCTGGCTAATTATTAGTTGCCACAAAAAAATTGAATTTACTACAATCAATTGCAGCGTTTGTAAAGTTAATAACACAAGCCAAAATCGAAAATCTTTACTTGTAAGCGGGTTCCAACGTGACGGAGCTCCCCAAAAGGTCCACAATCCGCCACAAAAGAAAAGCCAAGGTCGACGAATTAAGCAGAGGTTTTGAGATGCTTTTTGTGTCTCTTATTACTGGAAGTTACTATTGTTGAAGGCAATTTGTTTAATAATATTAATCTTTTATTGAAAATTCTTTGGGCTCGGTGGAAACATTAATAATCTATGAATTTTATTAAACCATGAAAAGGTGACATTTTAATTTGCTTTGTTTCTTTTTTTGCCAAGTTTCATTTGAATTAAATTACTCAAAATAATACTTATTTATCTACGTCAGTGAGTTAAGAAGCTCTTAACTCACGCATTTTGAGTGAGTTAAAAGCTTCTTAACTCACGCATTTTCATTACCGCACTCCTTGATTAGATGACTACCAAAGAGAAAAAAATATTTTGTAAAACATTTATTTTGCATTAAATACCTGCTAAATACAAGTAAACTGTTCTATTGATAACAATTGAGCGTCCAGATTGCACAACGACCTTAGCGCGTGGCTACTGGCGGGCCAGTAGGCAAGCGAGACAGCGACGCGCCGATTTAACAAAATAAATAATTTTAAACCTGCCGTCATTTCGTTAATAATTATCGTATCGTGTTGATTTTTGCATAGAAATACTCATGAGTCTTTAGCGCTTCCGACAAGCCTAAATAACTGGATTATTTTTAATATTTTCGATTTGTTTACACTGCCCGAGCATATTATAACTTTGAGATAAAAATCTCTGTTATAAATTTTAAAACTGACAGATATGACTACTATCATTTAATTAGTTATACATTTAGTTACAACATATTCAAAATTTAGGTCCTATCGGTTTATGCTAGCAGTAATAACGAGTATAAATAAAAAAATGGTCAGTACAACGCTCGGCGTTTTTAGCGCACGTTCAGCTTTGGTTTTAGTTTTAGCGCTATTTTTACAGAAAATAAATTCTGAAGTTTAATCAAATGACAAGAACATTATCATTGCCGATATCCCCTGGTTATAATGTAGTTCTTTTTTCAAAATATTGCATTGTTTTAGCTTAAAAAAAACTTGAATTATGCGGCTTTTTTTGCGAGAGCTACCGGAGCTGCGTTAATAAAGTATGTACGTCAATCATAGCCACAGTAGACTGTAATTTTACCTCGTCACGAGATTTTTTGGAAATATTGCACTTCCATTTATCCGGATTTCTACTAAATTTTGACCTTTCTTTTCGGTCGCATTTCCCTCTATTTAATAATAATTTAAAAAAACGCAGAAATACTACTGGTAGTAAACAAGCTGCGGCAAAAATTTTCTATACTCCGTGTAAACAAAAGACTATCGCAAATACTGTCTTTCGATTGAGGTACATAGCCATCTCTTTATTAACGCAGCGCCGGTAGCTCTCGCAAAAAAGCTGTTAACTCACTTGTATCGTAAATATCTAATAAAGATTTTCTATGTAGAATAGAAAGCGCCTCTAGTAAAAAGACATTAAAAAATTGTACTTGTCGGAGTCTTACAGCAAGACTGGACCATGCAAGAGCTCAAGATTACTTATTAGACTGCAAGACAAAGACCAACGGAATCTTTGTTTTGGACTTGCATTTGCTCATCACTAATAATTTTATTTTTATAATGATATAATATGAAGGGATATTATAAATAAAATAAACTGTTACTTCGAGATACACGCAACACAAGGTTTATACTATAGACTCCCATTCTTCTATATTTCAGTGTTGTATAGCTCAGTCTCTAGATCTTGCACGCAACATGCTTCGTCAGAACCGAATGCATTCTTAAATGACGGTCTGGCCATCCGGTATATTGAAGACTATTATTATTAAATCAAAATGAAAAAAAGCATATGTGCTTGAAATATGGCCAGTTTATGATTTTTTATACGACAAAAAAATAAAAAGAGATGTTATGTTGTTAACCTATAAAACTGTAAGGTCGTCAGATTGGCGGACGATGTGGAACGTACCGCTTGCAATAGATAAATACGTCTATAACCAATAACAGTAAATTGATGGACGAATGCCAAGAGAAACAGAACATTCGGAGAACTGGTCAGCAGATGTTGCGGTAAACAATGTGGACTTGATATTACTCATCGCCATGAAGTTATAAAACCGAGATTCGATAAAAATTGAAAACGATATATACAAATTTAATGTGTTCCATCATCGCAGAAAATATTTAAAAATAATAGAAATTTTATGACAGAATATTTAAGGAAATTATTATTATTATCATTAATATTAATATATTTCACATCGATGGCAGAATAATAATTATAAAAACACATTAGGAAATCAAAAGGTATAGCATTTAAGAAAAGCTTCCTATGACATATAGAAAGACCGAGAGAGAGAGACCTATAACATTACAACAGTTTTTTTTCTCAATATTAAGGAGCCGTCCTATACCGGAATCACTGCAATCTGTAGGACCTATTGTGTTTGTTCTCTTTCTATGTCTGCACCTAGTCTCCTATCCTTGTACCCTGTACCAGCTAGTGCAGTTTCTTCATAGGAAGGGACAATGTCTCCTCAATGACTAGGTTGAAGCTAAGAAAAAACGGCGAATGCAGATTCTCTGGGAAGAATGGGGAAACACCAGAACACCTCACCACTGAGTGCACCGAGACGACAACCATTCGTGTCATAAATATTGGTACTACCCTCTGTAAAACCGTCTCAGATAGTAATGGCTTTTGTCAGGATCCTGGGACTGTATGAAGAGTTATAACTCGTTATAACTCAAGAAAGGGGGACACAATAGATCTGTAATATCGCGGTGATTAACTCCCCTCCCACTCATTCTATATTCTACATGCTAGATTAGTCCGTCCAGAAGGAATTTTGTATCTGTCCACATTCTTCATCATCTCGATTAACAGTTTTGATTGACTTAAGAAAGCAGGAAATTACGATGATATTAAATAATAGGAAATATAAATAAAAATCTGTTTAGCCAGTCCTTATTTTTAAAAGAATTAACGCTTCGATAATTTTCATGAATACAATGAAATGTAGCTTACCTTTGTTTCCGCTCGACATGCTGCGCTATGAGATTACTGTAGTAGTTTTCTAGGGTGACCTTGGCCTTGGTGGCTTTGTCCAGGGTGTGGACGCTGAAACGGATCGTGTTCTCCGTCGCGGTCATGTCCAAGACCCCTGCAAAAAAAGAACGGAAAAAATTAATTAAAATCGTCTAATGGTTAATGTCGAGCACATTTTAAATGTTAACATGCACAAAGTAACTAAATAAACCTTAAACATCGGCCGATATTCTGAGTTGTAGTATAATGCTTTAACCTTTAACACAGTATACAGTATTGTATTAAATCTACTGCAAAATTAAACAAGTCATGAAATTAATTTTCGACATAATTTTGGTTTGTTATTTCTCCACTCATTTGTTTTGTGAAATAAGATAATCCAGTGTTTTATTATAGTCAAACATATCGATTATCGATTTTTACTGTAAAGTTGCACTATTCAAATAATCAAATGAAATATTCAAAAGAAAAAAAAAACACGTGCGTCGATGGTACGATTAAGGAATTAACAGCAAATTCCGTATTAGTGATGGGTATTACGATGCTTTTTATTGGATCGAATCACGCGATTCAGTTTCTCATAATGAATTGACTCTTACGATCCGTTCATTTGAACAAACTACAAACATAGTTTGCGTATCACAGTATAAACAGATATTTTTTTTGTAAATAACTTTCACATCGCTTGAATTTTATATTCATGATGTTTGTTTAGTGCTTTTGTTTGATGATACCCTACTACTAAATACGCAACTTTAAAATTATGAAGACGGGTTAAAATACAGTTTATTTTATTACTAATATATAAAATTGGTATAATAGAACATAACATTTTATTACTAAGATAATAATTATCTATTATTTATATCATTGCTATTACCTATATTAAATATATTAAAAACGTTTGGGTACCCAAACTCATAGTAGATAATTTTAGTATTTATTTTTTAAACGAACTGTATTGTAAGCTATGAATCAATTCTCCGATTCTTTGAACGAATGAGCCGTAGAAACAAACGAACCGTGTGATCCGATTCAATTCTTACGACTCGTTCGTTCAAATTTTATGGATCCGTGCTGGCCACGATTTAATTGAACGAACCATATTCCAAGCGGTGAATAGAATCGCACGATTCATTTTTAATACTCCTTCAAATGAGCGACTCGTTTAATCTTTTGCCCATCTCCATTCCATATTATTACATACATAATATTGTCATTACTCGCTGATGAGTATTTGACAAGCATCAGAAGATTGTTACGCAAGGCGTTTTCTTTCACGAGCTTTTCTGTAACTGAAAAGCCCGATACGTGATGTTATCTCTCTTCCGCACTCCGGACGTTCAAAAATCTCGTTACTCTGTTGCCTCTTTACTTTTTGGTTGTCGTTGTTAACTGAGTTTACAACTCTTGTCCATTGCGTTGTATTGTGCGTTGCTTCCTCCCACTGATTTTGCATGCTTATCCCCTTTAAGTTTTCATGGAAAATATCATTGTACCTTTTGAGTTGTCTACCCGGTTTCCTCTTGCCCTCTATAAGCTCACCGTAGAGAAGGGATTTCGGTTTGTGAACGGTTTTCTTGCATCCTGCATACGTGACCAGCCCATCTTAAGCGGGATTTAGTAATCATGACTTCAGCGCTCTCACAGCTAGCTTTTTCAAGGACCGATACGTTTGAGACATGGTACCATGATTCTTAACAGTTGTCTAAGATGTCTCTGTTGCAACTTGTTTAATGCGTTCATGTTCCGACAGTACGGTATCCAGATTTCACTACCATATAACATGGTGGGCATTATTATTGCTCGGTACACTGCAAGTTTCGTTTTTGTACTCAAATCATGATTGTAGAAAACCCTATCTTTTAATTTCCAGAATTCTCTTGAGACGCTGCTAATTCTGTGCTGAATTTCAGAGTCGATATTGGCCTTTTCCAAAATCAAACTGCCGAGGTAATTGAATTTCGGTAAAATATTTTTTAACTGAAGAATAATGTTCTGCATGAACCCATAGGTCCAAAACACTCAGCATGCTTTCGTTGACAATTGTAATGAGCCTAATTGTGATGCTGAATTCTATTTGCTGAGATATTTATGTGGTGTGTTTTCCAGGGTATGCGTAGCATTCTACAATCAGCCCACATCTCAATGGCTTAAGGCTTTGTTTTCATACTAACGAGTTATTTTAGTTAGTTTGTATAATAATCATTTATAATTTTGGCTAATATGATAACTCCATTAGTTTTAGTCACCCAATAATAGCACGATTCTTGGCTAGTTTACGAACTAAAACCTTGCAATTTAAGAGTGAGATTATGCTCTGTGTTTGTACGCATATTTTATAGGATTTTGTCAACTTAAGGTGGGTTCAACTAGGAAAATAAAATAAAAAAGAAGAAACGATTAGTTCTAATATGGGAGCGTTCAAACAGCCAAATAAAATAATAAATATACATTTGCAAATGAGGATTACGTTAAAATTGGATAAACATTTAATTTTCAGTTTAGTAGTTGTTTACAAAAATTTTAGTATTTGCAATGTACTGATTTATTCAACCGCAATGTAACTGTCTATTCATATTGAAATTATGCAATAAAATAAATCCAAATCCTGAAAGTATTTATAAGTTTTTCCACGTTGCGAGTCCTTTTTTAATGGTCCAAGTTTCTGCAGCGCTAGTGGTCTTAGAAGAGATTTGTGGTCTTAGAAGAGCTAGTGGTCTTAGAAGATTTTAGCTTCACTGTTGCTGATTTGGCCATTGTAAAGCATTGAAAATTTCTTCTGCACACCATGGGCTGGTTGTGGAAACAAAACCCAAATAGTTGAAATGATTTCCACCACTTCATACCCTGCTACGTCTCGTATCTCTGGCTGATTCGGCGTTATACACAAGTAGAGTACTTCGATTACCTCTATGTTAACTCCATTTAAAGGCGGAATATTTAAAAATAGACTTGAGGCATTGCAAATTATAGACTAATATTATTTCCCCACCTCAAAATGATTCATTAACAATTTTGGTTTTCAATATTTTAAACGTAAAATCTATACTAATATATAAAATCTTTAAGTGACTCACTGATCAATCACGATCCTGTTCAAACCACTCAACGTAAGGGTGCGTTTATGTTGGAGCGGCGATAAACGATAAGAGCAGCGATAGTAGCGAATCAAAGAATATTATTATATATGTAGGTGTTTATATTGGAGCAACGCGTGGAGACACGCTTGGCAGTTGAGCAACGATAAGAGCAGCGCTAATTCACTGCTTTTATCGTTTATCGCAGCTCCAACATAAACGTACCCTAAGAAGCTCAATTTTGGCATACAGGTTGATTCTAGGGTGTACGTGTACAGGTTTGATAAGAAGGGATTTTTCGAAATTCCAGTTCCAAGGGGGTAAAACCACCCCTCAAATATTACAATATTTTCTATTTAAAAAACGGTCAAGTTTCCGAAAAAACGCTTATATTTTATTTTGTTTTTTTACATATTTTAAGATTGTTTAAAAATGTATACAGGGTGTTTCGAAAAAGCTGGTCATTGATTAATCACGATCCTGCTTAAAGCGCTTGACGTAAAAAGCTGCTTTTTGGAAAACGGATTGACTTTAGGGTATAGAGGTTCGATAAGGGATTTTTCGAAACTCGAATTCTAAGGGGGTGAAACCACCCCTCATATATTAGAATATTTTTTATTTGAAAACCAGTGAGTTTTTCGGAAAAACTCTTAGTATAGTTAGTAGTTATATTTTATTTTGTTGTTTTACATATTTTAAGATTTTTTAAAAATTTATACAGGGTGTTTCATAAAATATGACCATTGAGTAATCACGATTCTGCTTAAACTGCTTGACGTTTAAAGCTGATTTTTGGTAAACGGGATTGACTGTGGGGTGTAGAGGTTTGATAAGGAGGGGTTTCACGAATTTCAAATTCCAAGAGGGTGAAAATGCCCCTCAAATATTATAATATTTGTTATTTACAAAAAGGGTAGTCTTTCGGGAAAACGCTTGGACACGCATAATTTATTTTGTATTTTTACATATTTTGAATTTTTTTAAAAAATCATACAGGGCTTGACGTAAAAAGCTGCTTTTTGGAAAACGGATTGACTTTAGGGTATAGAGGTTCGATAAGGGATTTTTCGAAACTCGAATTCTAAGGGGGTGAAACCACCCCTCATATATTAGAATATTTTTTATTTGAAAACCAGTGAGTTTTTCGGAAAAACTCTTAGTATAGTTAGTAGTTATATTTTATTTTGTTGTTTTACATATTTTAAGATTTTTTAAAAATTTATACAGGGTGTTTCATAAAATATGACCATTGAGTAATCACGATTCTGCTTAAACTGCTTGACGTTTAAAGCTGATTTTTGGTAAACGGGATTGACTGTGGGGTGTAGAGGTTTGATAAGGAGGGGTTTCACGAATTTCAAATTCCAAGAGGGTGAAAATGCCCCTCGAATATTATAATATTTGTTATTTACAAAAAGGGTAGTCTTTCGGGAAAACGCTTGGACACGCATAATTTATTTTGTATTTTTACATATTTTGAATTTTTTTAAAAAATCATACAGGGTGATCCAAAAATTTGGGTAATTGATTAACCACGATTCCGCTTAAACTGCTGGAAGTAAAAAGCTTATTTTTGGTAAACGGATTTTTCGAAAGTCAAATTCCAACGAGATGAAACTACCCCTCAAAAATTACCAAATAATATCGCCATATTGTTTTATCTTATGCTGACATAAATGTGAGAAAATTTTATCCAGTTTGTATGTTAATGGAAATTCTTGCTTTGCTTTATCATCACCATATAAATGATTAATTCGACGCGAACGAAGTCGCGGGTACACGCTAGTAACAACATATGAACGTTTCCTTCGTCCATTTTAATAATTTTCAAATAAATCTGAAAACCCATATTGTTCAGTTACGTAACCGTGATATAATATCGACAGGATTTTAATATTATGCTCGTTATTACCCTTGAAGGCGGATTCGGTAAACAGACGTCATGTGTAAACAGACACACAAAATGTCAAGAATGGATACGTGAGCGAGAGGCAGCGAGCGTGGGCATCGACACGAAGAATCGAAAATGTTTGAAATTGATGTTAACACGATGGAAA